ACCTTAAGACCTCTTTGCACGTACCACAAGTGTTTTTCGTCTGGCATGTTGGACAGAATGCAGTCAGACATGAAGGCGTTGGCAGCCTCCATCTTTAACAAGGTGTGCCAACTTGAGTTCAGGGCTTCCCATTTGTGGCAGCAGTGTCGTTTGGCTTCCCTTCGACGCCAACTCAACGATTAAACTGATTAAACACCAAAGCCGTCTTTCTACATGTTGGACCGATCCCCTTTTTCCGTTTTTGTCAACTGCTACGGGCTTCTCAAATGTTTGCCACACGTACACCTGCTAACACTCACTCCATTCCATACACTTGTCAAATTTCCACTGGCAAATGGAGGGTCACTAATCACTAATCATATCCCCGGTCCCACTTGGGGGGGGGATAGACTAAACATAGACCGTGGCTCGGATGGCCAAACAATCCCAGTACTTTGCGTTTTCCCAGCTCAGCCAAGGTGCAGATCAACCAGTGAGCGTCCGCATGTGGAGCTCGGGTGACGAAGGTTCCTTGCATTATTTCAGCTTCGTCAATTATTACGATTGCCAGATGGTTCTTGGAACATAGAGAATCAACCTCAAAGGCCGCAAAAGGAGGGTTTGATGACGCTTGCGGGTTTTTACGACCCACTTTAGTGCCTCAAAAAACCGACCCTGTCAGATGTGCAAAGTGATTCGAAGGCTCTAGGCAGACCTGCCGCAGCAACTAAATGAGACCCGCGAATGACGCGAAGCGTTTCAGGCGCCTCGCGAGCGTATCAATTCGAAGAAAACGGCGCTTGCCTTTGACCCACAGAGCGTCTTGGATGAAGGCTGAAATGTAATTGGCTGGTTGGCTGTCTGCCTTGTTGCCTGCTTGGTTGGTTGGTTGGCCGGTTGGGTAAGGTTTAGTTTGTTTGGGTTTGAGTTGAACTGTGGCTCAATTTGCGTTGGTTGTGTGGTTGGTTTGATTGGGTTTGGTTGGATTGGCTGTGGGCACATTGCTTGTTTGGTTATTTAGCAGCTTGGCTGCTTCTGAGCTTGGCCGAGGACATTTTCTGCACCGCCAAAAACACCATGGTGAATCATCTGAAAGTTGCTCAAGATGTTTTGCCACTTCCCCAAAAGGATGTTCTCACCCTTCACAGGTGACGCTCACCCCAGTAACCCCCTATTGATTTTATGCTGTTACCTGGCATATTCGGCCGGGAGCTCCGGGCGCGCCGGCCCCTTGTGGTTCTCCGCATCAGTTGCTCGCGTAAAACCTCCTGAGAGGCGGAGAGGCGGTTCCGAAGCTTCCCTTCGTGGTCGAAAAAACTCGCAGTGTCCCTTTTGGCACGGTTGCGTCACGAGACACCAGGCTTCCAACCTTGGAGCAGCTCGCTTGGTTTCGGGTGCTTTCCTTTGAGAATGGAAGGTGTCCAACGCGGTGTCCGACACCCATCCGCCGAGCAAGTGAAGGATGCAAGCTCTCCGATTCGGAGGTCCCTTTTCGGCATTTGACTTGTTGTAGTTGTGCTGTATTCTGAGTCTTGTGTGTCAACATAGAATGACCCTGAAAATAACGGTTGTCCTTAAAAGGTGTCCCTCGGAGCCACTTTTTAGGCTTTTAGGTTTTAGTGGTACTTTCCTTTTAACCCACTAAAAGCTAAACTTTTCGCAGGGATCTGAGGGCAGCCCGGAAAACAGGGTGCCAGCAAAAACACACACTGAAGATGGAGTTTGAAAAGCGAAAAGAGGTTGTGGATGTCCCAGGCCTTAAGTTGGAATCTGTTTGAGAGGGAACCCACCAGCTGCCGTCAGGGGCCCAGGTGCGGTTCGCAGGTACGTTTCCACGGGAAATGCGCAGCGTCTTCGTTGGCCGCCGACTGCGCATTCCCCCGGCGGCCCCCTGCTTTCAGGATATGTTTAGCATAGCTATCCCTCGACTGGTTTGGGTTGTCACACACACAACAGCTCCCGCAGGAGCACTGCTGGTAAACTGTCACTGGAAGTTCTGAAGGAGAAAGGGCCCCTGGTGTCTCAATCTTGCCGAAAAAAGGGGAGAAAAAGGGCGCATTTGTTGTTTCTTTTGAACACACACCCACCCACACACACGCAAAACGGCCGGGATGGCGGGCCCCCATGGCCCTCACCCGAGAGAACCACAGGGGAGGCGGGGGCGAAGGCGGGCCCTCCTCAGCAAAACGGTTGCTGAGGAGGGGAGGGGACGCACACCCACACACGCACACACCCACGCCAAACGGCCAGGATAAACGGTAGGATGGCAGGCCCCCCCCGTGGCCCTCGCTTGAGAGGGGGCGAAAACGGGCCCTCCTCAGTGAAACGAGTTGCTGAGCAGGGGATGGACGACCAAAACCAACCGAGAAATGCACCTTGGCATCGTTGAATGCGCACACATGCGCAAACATGTACACAAAACAGCCCCCACGCTGGGCTCCCGTTAAGGGCGGAGCTACCCGTGGCCTTAGTAGACAGCCTTAGTTTCCGGAGTGGCTTCAAACCGAAAAAGTCGTCTTTGTTTGAGTAAACAGGCAAAATCTAGCATCGAAAATAGAGCCGCTATTCCAAAATAATGGGTCTTTGTCCGTGTCTGAGTCCGAAAAGCTGTTGGACATTTTCCATGCTTCTGCTTGGCTCCGGCGCTCTCTGGTTCGAGAGCGTGAATCCCCACGGCCCATTTCTATGAAACAACTGGGGGACAAGTGCTAGCTAGGTTCGAACCACTTATGATAAGGTAAAAGTCATCTCAATTCACAGCGGTTTCAATGCTTTATGACATCTCAATTCAAACGCCCTCTGGCAGATTTCGCAGCAACGCAGCAAGACTGGTCTTCAAAACCAGCAAGCCAAACGCATGGACATGTGAAGTGACAGTCTGACCGCAAACGACACGAGAGCCAAATTACTTTTCTTTTCTTTACGTTCCAAGTTGGTCATGGTTTGCGCTGCTCCAGGCCACGTGTAGCCAAAGTAGGTGTTACATTTAACACATGTCAAGAAAGCAACATTGACACATGTCAAGAAAGCAACATTGATCAAGGTTCACCGCCTGGGAACAAACGCCGCCAGCCCTAAGCATTGAGCAAGATGTGACTTAATTTGCCATCTCTTGTCTCCTGTTCCGTGGACACAATCAAACATGAGGTTTGCAGCGTGCTCCGCGAGCACACCTCCTTGCTTGACTGTGTAATGGGGCTGACGCAAATGCGCCTTCCCGAAAACTGCTACTGATCGAGGCTGGCATATATCCCCGTAGCCCCAAGCTTTGCGCGTACTGCATATAAGAGCAGCCCTGAATGCATAGTCTGAGAAATTTTCTGCCACATGCGCCCTTGAATAGAACCCACACGTCGGCAACCAGCTATCATCAGAGGGGTCCCAGCATGAGGGTCGCACAATCCCTTCTTTCAGAATCATTGCAGCTGCCGCTACTCCAGTGTTGTGGGTCCAAGCCACAACACTCCGCGGAGGGGGCAAGTTGGATTTAAAGGAACTGCATCAGCCGGTACATAATCGGGGCGTTGTTCAAGTGAAAAAGGGGGGACCTGGTGAGGGGGAAGTGCATGAGGTGGCTCAGAGTGAGCAAAACACCCGCCAAAGGCCGTAGTGCTCATGAGAGCAGCAGTCGCGTGGGGCGCTTGATTTACTGCGCGCAGCCTGTATCATATCAAAGGCCATAGCAGAAACAGGGAAGCCAGAAAAGAGGTGAAACAACTCGGGAGTTTGATCAAAAAGCTCTCGCGAAAACGAGCGATGAAGCGCTAAAAGCTCCGACAAACTCAGTGACTCGGAAGGCGGAACCGTTTAAACAGGGTCACTTGAAAAGGGGGCCACTTGAAAAGGGGAACCAGTCAAACACCTGTGGTATGTTCTAAGGGTGGGGCCGCCGTAGGAGAACAGATAATACTCCATAATTGACTCTGCGGTGGAACCGCTTCATCTGCGGTATACCCCGCTTCATCTGCGGTATACCCCGCCACTCGTGGGCAGTTGCCCGAGTTCTCTCTCACAATACTTCTGGAGCCACCTCGCTCCTTCCTGGATTGAACTTTGGGCAGAGCCCTGGCAGCGTTTCTTTACCCGAAGGCTGTTCTACGGTTCCAGGGCCGTGCCCAACTCTCTTCACCAACCCCCGCGCACCATTGGGGCCGGCGGACGTCGGCACAGCACCCACATGGGCTGAACCGAGGGGGCGAACCCCACACACTGAAGATGGAGTTTGAAAAGCGAAAAGAGGTTGTGGATGTCCCAGGCCTTAAGTTGGAATCTGTTTGAGAGGGAACCCACCAGCTGCCGTCAGGGGCCCAGGTGCGGTTCGCAGGTACGTTTCCACGGGAAATGCGCAGCGTCTTCGTTGGCCGCCGACTGCGCATTCCCCCGGCGGCCCCCTGCTTTCAGGATATGTTTAGCATAGCTATCCCTCGACTGGTTTGGGTTGTCACACACACACACACATGTGTCAGAATCATCCTCGCCCGACAATGCGCGGTGTGAGAGGCTCAGGCTGAGGCAGCTGAAGCGGAGCTTGGCTTGCTCCGAGCAAATGTGCTGCTTTCGAATCCTGATGCAATCCGGGTAAACAGTATGATGTCATGTTGGAAAGATAGGACATGATAGGTCAATGGAAGGCAACCAATTACAAGAGAAATTCTGGGAGTCAAAATACTGGAAATTCGAAATACTGGGTGTCAGAATACTGGAAATGCTAGCACTATACTTTGACTCCCAACCCGACAATCCAATGTGCTCGTGTTGTATGACAGCTGATATTTATCCCACTGAGGGCTGACAAGGTTGCAGAATTTGCAGAATGCAAACCAGCCGACACGCTTGAATATGCGAACATTACCCATGATGTCCATTTTTCAAGGAAACCACAGGATGGAGTTTGTTGAATTCATCAGGTTGCCTGTAGCTTCAGGCTATCATCTTTAAAAAGCTCACGCCGAAGTTTCTGGACCAACTTTCTGGGAAGACCTTTTGGTAGTAAGCAAAAAGTTTAGACTCTTTTTGGCCCATCCACTCGGGAAGTGCAAAAGGGAACCCATCCACACCCATGCCAACGGCCGCATCGCGGCCATGCGCACATGCGGCGGCCTAAAAAACCGGTCGGGGTCGTGCGGCGGTGTGTTCTGTTTAGGCCACCCACAAAGAGTGCCGAGCCACGAAAAACACGCCCTTCTGTCCGAGAAGCCAGCTACAGGCAATTCTACAGGAATCCTGTAGAATGTGCTGTATAGCTACTTTCTAGGATTCTGGGGAATCAAGGGAGTCTCTGGGGCTTCCAATAAGGTAGTTGTTCCATGATCAAGGTCCATTCGCTTCGAGCAGCGAGCCAAAGCAAGATGTAGCACCCACAGCCAAGCCTCGATGGATTTGATCCGATTCATTGCGTGGGGTGTCCTTCCAAACTCAATCAGAAAGAAACAACTGTTGGGAAAAGGATGGCCAGCCAGCAAAGATGGATCAACAGGGACTAGGTTTTCCAGTGCCCTTCTCTCCCCTTTTGGGTTTCGGGTTCTACTAAAATGGACGGAAGAAGAATCGGGCACCAACTTCTTCTAACCTCACTGGCAGACCTAGGGGAGTTACAGCGCGGATCGCGACGAGTCCGCTGAGGTTTGACTTTGAGGAGCTGTCCGAGTGCGAGGACCGTGATGGGACCAGCGTGGATGCACTTTTGTCCTGAAACCCCCGAGACACTTGGGGACTTCTTTGTATGACATGGCCATATCTATCTAGCATTCCTACTCCAGGTGCAAGTGTGTCCAAGCCCCAGCGATGTAACTGATGTGTTGCTTACTCTCGCACTTGTTGTTCTCGCTGATGGTGTTTTATGCCTCGCTGTTCTTTGGGTTTGTCTTCTGCGCGCGGCGGGCAAGTGGTTCCGGGAGATGCTCTCTCAAAGTGAAAAAAGGCGACCCATTATTCATGGCTATTAGGTTGGATCTGTGGACTTTCACTTTTGGGGAAACAGTTTTCCATTGAAACCACAAGAGGTTTGGCTTTTTGCAGAAAGGGTCAACAGCAACCAAGAGTTATGTTATGTTGTTTGCTATTTACTATGTCACCTATCATCAACGTTCTCTGCAGGCAACCACTCATGCCCTGATTTCTCTATAGATGTTTGTTTTGTCCGCCCATCGACCACTTCTTTTGCGCACTGGAAATCGCAGATACTGCAGGTGGTGTGAAACAAGATTAAAAGCCCTGGTTCCATGTCGAAGTTCATGCAGTGGACCTCGAAGGCCATGTGGCGCACAACGATTGAGTAATCCTCTGGGCACGTGGGGACTTCCTTTCAGTGGCATTTGAGGCGACCCCAAATGGGGGTGAGCCTAGGCGTGCATTTGCTGAAATGGATGCATGTGTTCATTTTTCCCGGAGTCTGCGCACTTGCTTGTTGGTTGTAGGGTTCCAGCCAAAACAGGACCCGACGCCCGACTGCGCTTCATTGTTTGCCCAACGCTGGCTCACGCTTGGATTCCAGGACACTGCGTCCAGCGAGCGTCAACCTCGGGATGCATCCGGCACAGGGAACCCCGCTCCCAAACGAACCCGAAGGTTCCCCCTTCGGTTCGCTCCCCAAGGTTCGCCAGGGAGCCGTAAGGTTTCTCAAGGCTCCGAAAGGTTTCCTATTACCATAAGGTTCCCTAAGGCTCCCTGAGGTTCCCTAAGGCTCCCTGAGGTTCCCTAAAGCTCCCTAAGGTTCCCTAAGGAACCACAAGGTCTGCCTACCCGCCCCCAGTGGACCCCATCTCAAAGAGGCCCAAGTTGCCCGGGAGTTTCGGATCTCGCGCGGGCCCATCGAAAGGTAGCGCAGCGAGCCCCGAAGAGCATGGCCTATGTTCAGACCGAGCCCTGGCTGTGGGTGAAACAGAGGTACCCCAAATGGAGCCCTGGTGGGGCCAAGGACTAAAACCTGCGGTCCCCTGGTGGTTTAATTTTGACCCCTACCCAAGCTCAGAAACTCGTTTCTTTCCCTTGGACCTAAGTACCACTTGAAGGCTGGCTTGCTGATACTAAAAATGGGGCAAGGTCTGGGGCCGCATCCGATCGCGTTTTGGAACGGTTCCAAAAGGGAAACCGCAAGGACCACACATCTGGCGTACAACCACCTGTTCGAAGGGATTCGTTGGCATCGACTAGCAACCCTGTGCAAGACGCTTTGCTTGCCGCTTGAGAAATGTGCGCAGGCCAGTGGCCTTGCTTTGCAAATCAGTCACAGACAGCAACCCCGTCCCTTGAACCCCGTCCCTTGAACCCCCCCCCTCCGGGCCCCCTCCCCGCCAAAACAAAAGAAGAAGCAAAATCTACAGTGGAACCATCCCCGCCCTCCCGCCCTCCCCTGCGAATCAGGGAACCCCCCCCTTGGTTCTATGCCTTTTGGCACAAACGATCGCGCTGGCTGCGTCGCTCCAAGGACCCGAGCTCCCAGTGGCCCTGACCCGTGCGGCGGCCAAAAGAAAAAGCCTCAAAATGGGACCTGCGTTAAGTGATGCAGGTTGGACCATGGGAAGGGTATGGCCATGGTTCAAAACCAACGGTACCATTCTGGGATAGGTGCACCACCCATTTTAGTCTGTTTTAGTGGGGATTGGGAGGTTCACCGGGGGTACGGGGTTTTGACCCATGGCCGTATGAGTCCAAACAGGGCCAAAACATGGTGGCTTTTCTTTTGATTCCCCTTGAAATGGATGTTTTCAACAGCCGCACACCACGTCACCATTCTCCAATGTTTAATGGATCACCTTATGAGCCATGTGTTTTTGGGACGTATTTGTCAAGGAGCCGTGACTTGGGGCAGTCAAGAGAAGTGAAGGAGATCCGTGGAATGGACTCAAATTGTTTTACGCCAATGTTTACCGCGAACAGGCAGACTTGCTGGAAGGATATTGGGAAAGAGTGTGACTTGGCTTATTGAAATGCATGGGCTTAAGATCCTTTACGGGACGACAGGTTGATTAATGTACAAGATGCAAACCAAGCAAAGGCTCGACTTGAGTCAACCTGTTCCGTTCTATGGCGCCGCAATTGCAATAGTGAGATCCAAATTCAGATAAGAAGACTGCACCACTTCCAGCTGGCGTAAACGGCTAAGTCAATGTGTTCAGCTTGAAGAAATCAGCATTGATCAATGTGGATTGCATGAATGATTGAGTATCAGCAACGAAAGCTTGTTGTTTTCCGCATGTTCAATTTCGCAGCTAGCCAAGTGTGGTGATCGCATGTTAGTCAAAGCCGAAACGGCTAAGCCTGGGGGGGGGGGGGGGGGTTATAGGGAAACCAAAAGGAAAACCGAAGCCAGTTTGTGGGGTCTCCCCATTATTGACATATGCCTGTATAAAGTGTCTCCGCAGTAAACCAAGTTGTTAAGTACGTTTCCTTTTCTTCACAGTTCTCGGCAAGTTGTTTTTTGTGTTCTGTTTTTGTTTTAATACTGGACTGCAAAAGGCAAAGTTGTTCGCAAAAATACCAAGGGTTGTGGAGTTGAGTTGCATTTGTCACAAAGCAGAACTGATCGGGAACGCCAAACGAGCGCGTAGGGCCGAACTCCGCGCTCGATGCGAAGGCCCGGGCCGCCCAGTTTTGGGTTCCCTGCTTCGATCGGTTGGGAATCTGGGCGATTTGGTGACCAAAATCGGCGACCTGCCAGAAGGGTTGGTGGGAACCCTGATCCATTCACCTTGATGGCTCCCTGCCATCCCCTTAGTCTTTTGTCAGCTTTTTAGTTGGTTTGGTGGGGATGTCCAATTGAACCCACTAGAAGTTCACGACTTTTAGCGGGGATCCGAAAACGGACAGCCCAGACATGAGTTGTTGCACTTGTGGTTTGCCATTCTCAATTCACCCCCACAGAGTTCGCTTGGACCCAACCCGCATTCACCTGTCGCCCCTGTTTTTGGAGGTGGGGTAGGGTGAAACATGTCCCAGTGATTCCATGTGCCAGCATACTGGGTAGCCAAGGGAACTGGCTGGTTACCTATTTTACTGGCAACTGGGATCCACTGGGTGTACAACAAACGCATTCTATCCAGCCTTTGCAAGAGCGAACTTTGTTTCTGGAAGTGTCCATCATCCTAAGGGTGTTCTGCAATCACTTTGGTGCCGGAGATGCTCAGCAAACCAAAGACCCTTGGAAGCTTGGGCAAAACGTGGTCGCCCAACAACACATAATGTTGTCAGGTTGGCAACGAACAGAACTTTGCAACATTCGAGTTTCGTATTTTTGTTGTCATAGATTCGAACAGATGCAACGAACTCCGAAATGCCATGTTGTTTGAATTGTGTGGTTTGAGTTGACCCGTGCATTGCTCCAGTGAATGAGCACATGTACTGGAGGTTGTCGAGTTTCTGAAAGATTGGAACCTGCCAGTTCAAATGAGGTTGCCCATGTTCAAGCAGCGCGCGTCTACATGGTTTCGCACATACTGCAAAGCGAGGTGGTCACAGATTCATGCTAGGGCGTTGTCTCCCCATCTATCTATCTGTCTGTCTGTCTGTCTATCTATCTATCTATCTACCTATCTATCCAGCTATGTATTTTTCTACCTATCCGTTTTTATCTGCAGGTGACGAGACGGCCGCTTCTTCTTGGGCCCGATTCCACTGGAAATGTGTAGAACATGCTACACTGTTGCCCCGACAGTGATGTTCCAAACATTGGTTTCGGGATCTCCCAACCGCTTGTGCTATGCACTATGCGCACAAAGAATCGAAGCGATCGGCTCATGTAAAGAGAACGTCAACATGGTGGGTTGCCATTGGGAATCCCGGGTTTAAGCCACTGCCAGATGATGTTCGCCTTTGGAGGGGGGTGACACGGGTTAAAAACGAGCGTTGACACGCACCATCCGCTCGTATCAAGCCATTGATTTTAGCTCTGTCCGAGGGCTCCTTGTTTGTCTCCTTTGCAGGTTTAAACAACACCATTGTTAGATCAAAGTGACAATTTAACGTGACAGACATGGAACCCCTTACGCCATTGCCTCAGCAAACCAACGGAACACTCCACACC